AAAAAAAAAAAAAAAAAAAGACATCTTAATTTTCACTTACCTGGAACCTGAAATTTAGCATTTCCTCCTTAAGAGTGGACCACGAGTTTGAGTGTAATAGATAATCTACAGTACACTTGCTTTATGCAGCAACATATTTAGATGCCACATTTTTATGTTCACATTATAAATTTGTGTTTAATCATAGGTAACACTTATATAATCGAATTCCTATGAGTCTGTTATTAATAGAAACCATAGAATATTCTCGTTCTGTTTCTGTAGCTGCCGATTCCATGAGCACTTCCCTGAGATAGTCTGTGTGTTTTCAAGGAAGTACATAAAAATGGCCCTGTCCCACCCCATTCAGTGCTCACAGCTCTCGCCTCGTTTCCTGTCGCTTGATAATGTCTCGGAGACCATTCCATACCCATTCATGACAGGAACCGTGTGCGGACACGTATTCAGGCCATTTCCAGTCTTTGCCATTGTAAAGAAGGTTGCAGTGGATGAGTGTGCACACGGTCCTTTTGTGTGTGTGAGTCCAGGCGGCGACAGGCTGTGGCCCAGGTCTGGCTGCTGCAAAGTCCACATTCTCTCTCAGGCAGAATCCCTCCCTTTGTGCCGTCTGGGAAGATACTTTCCTACCAGCAGCCTGAAAATGCTTGTAACAAATGTACAAATAAGTCGGCATTGTCACGTGCGAATGGCAGCCCCTCTGCCGGCTGTGCTGGTGCAGCTGGTCCTGCCCCGGCTGCAGGCCGGCACTGAGGCCCTCCTCCTGCTTGTCCTACTCCTGCAGACCTACTCTGGCCTCTTCTGTGTGGTCATCAACCCCTACAAGCAGCTGCCCATCTACACGGAGGCGATTGTGGAGATGTACCGGGGCAAGAAGCGCCACGAAGTGCCGCCCCACGTGTACGCCGTGACCGAGGGCGCCTACAGGAGCATGCTCCAGGGTGAGTGCGGGCCGGGGCGCCGGGCTGGGCTCAGGACCGGATCTGGGGCTCTGCCAGGCTTCTTCGTGGGGCAGGAGGGAGCACACATGGAGGGCCAAGTGGGTGGGGCTCTGGGTCCTACCTGACAGCCCCCCTTTTTTTAATCTGCCTCTATGTTCCCCCCTTCTCTCAACAAGCACCGTTTGGGAGCCACTTGGTGCCAGGCTTCTGCCAAAATTTCTCTTGAGATAGTGAATCTTAGAGTGTTCGTTCCTTCACCATTTCTGCTGTGGACGTGGGGTGAACAGCAGCCCCTTACCCGACGGGCAGGTGGGGTTGCTGTGTGCAGCTGGGCAGGGTGGTAAAGGGCGCCACTCAGCCATGACGATGCGCGTCAGTCCTGGCAACGTTACACGGTCCGCACGTAATGTACATACCGCGCTCATTACTTATTTATCATATATCATCTATCTTAACACGTATTTTATACGTATTAAAATACAATTAAATATTTTTAAATGTACACCTTTCAATCACATGACATAAGAGTATGCAGCAATATATGTATATTTTACATATTATACTTACATCATTTAATAAATGCTATGTTTCTAGGGTGTGTTATAATAATATATTTATATCATATAACGCAGTGGTTCTCAGCATGCAGCTCCCTCACCAGCAGCAGCAGCAGCACCTGGGAACTTGTCAGAAATTCGAACCTGGGCCCCAGACCTGCTGAGTCAGAAACTCTGGGGGAGGTTCAGCGGTCGCTCTTTCCACAAGACCCCCCGGGCTCCTGCAGGCTCTGATGCAGGTTCCCTGGAGTAATAGATGATCTACGGTTTCATGCAATAGAGCATGTTTAGATGTCACACTTTCATATTCACATTATAGAGTTTTACTTCATCTTAGGTGACACTTATTTGGTTCTATAATCTAATCGGTTATAAATATATCCCAGTTCTTATATCTCAGGCATAAATGTACAATAAAGGATGGGTGAGGAAGGAGCCTTCTCTGTGCCAAGTGCTTTTCATGGATTAATACATTAACAGGGAGATGAGCTTATCTCCCTAGCTTCCAGATGGGGAAACTGAGGCACAGAGCAGTGCAATCATTGCCCACAGTCCCACTGGTGGCTGAGGTGGGATTTGAGCCCAGGGTCCCTGACAACTACCTCCTTGGAGTCCAGGGTCCCACTCTCATGTCTTTGGAGCTCATGCTCAGCACAAGGCAGCACATGGTAGGAGCTCAAATTGAAGTTTATTGAATGAATTGTATGCTGTTCAGCTGGAGTTTATTGTCTCCTCAGGTGAGGAAATAGGCTCAGAGAGGGACAGCTGCCTTCTCAAGGTCACACAGCAAGCAAGAGGCCAAGTAGGGTGGGGTATTAGAACCCAGGAGTGTCACACATCAAAACCCAAGCTTTCCCTTATCCCTGGGAATGATTTTGAAAAGGGAGTGGCCAGGGTCCTGCAGGAGAGACCCTCCCAGGTGACATGTTCCACTGTCTCCCCTACAGATCGTGAGGATCAGTCCATCCTCTGCACGTGAGTAATCCTGAAGGGCTTCCTAGTGAAGGTGGGATCCCAGCTGGGTGTGGCTCTCTTTGGAATGGGTGGGGTTTACCTGGAATCATTGCTGACCCCTCTTGCTTCCTCTTGTTCTACCCTATAGCGGGGAGTCGGGAGCAGGGAAGACAGAAAACACCAAGAAGGTCATTCAGTATCTCGCCCATGTGGCATCATCACCGAAGGGCAGGAAGGAACCGGGCGTACCCGTAAGTGACCTGCCTTGGGATATACTCTAGACCCTGTCACCAGCAATATCCCCTCCATCTCAGGCTATGCCTGCCCCGTAACTCCCTCCCTCCTCCATAACTCCCTCCCTCCCTCATGGGGGGCTGTAGCAGTAGGTCTCTTCCTGGCTTCCCATGCTGGTTGTGCACCTACTATGTGCCTGATATACTGCTGGGAGCTGTGGCAGATGGACAAGAAATGCAAGAGCCAGTTCTTGGCCTCATTGACCTTTGGAACAGTACCAGGCACATACTAGGTGCTTACATTCCTGAGTACCTACTATGTGTCAGGCCTGATTTAGGTACCTGCAATGCCCTGGTTGGCTTTGTAAATGGGCATTTATACAGTGCTTGTCCCTGTGCTCACATTAGCACTCCAGTGAGGTGGGTGTTGTTTTCTTGTGTTAAAGACAAGAAATGGAAGGCAGGACTGGGCTGAGTTGGTTTCGGAGATCATTCACCCAGTAAGGGCTAGAGTGGATTAAGACCCAGGCATTGTGGGCCCCCAGGGCCACCTCACTCCACATGCCCAGCTTCCCCTTGTCTCTCCCCCGACCCTGCCCACCACCCGAGACGACCGGTTCACCTGTGTGTCTGTCCATGTTTCATGTGCTGTGTCCTGGTCCGTGTCCTGGTCCGTGTCTCGTGACTTCCCCAGGCCTCCACCAGCACCATGTCTTATGTGAGTAGCAGGGAATCACCTGGAGTCATGCTACCCTAATGCCACCCAAGTCACCTCAACCCACGGTCTGTCTGGTCACACCTGCCAGGGAACCACTTATGATGGTCCTACTAGCTGCACTGTCATTTAATGCAACCTTACTGTGTACACACAGGGCCCCCCACTGTTGTTTACTGTGCCCACACACCCAGGGCCTGTGCTATCATTTAGTGTGGTCCTACTGTGTGTGTATAGACTCAGTCAGCACTGCTACTTGTGTTGGCTCTACTCTGTGTGTACAGACTATTCATAGATACCAACATGAGTACTCACTTCTGAAGCACATATACTAAAATTGGAATGCTATAGAATAGATTAATGTGGCCCCTGCTCAAGGATGACAGGCAAATTCATGAAGTGTTCCATAAAAATAAAAAATAAAAAGATACCAACAAGAAATAACTCAGAGACCAGAAGTGCCGTTTACTGCTGATCTGCTAAATGTTTGCAGATGAGGCCCATAGACACCATGAAGTCACACAGCCCAGAGACACACACTGCCATTTATTGCAAGACCTCAGCTCAGGCTAGTCTCTGAGGACTCACAGGGAAATTAAAGAAATAGTCCATGGCCTAGAGAGCCTAGCTAGGAAGGCAAGAAAAGAAAATTGCCATTTATTGAGCACCTACTGTGACCTGGCTCTGACACCAAGATGGCTGTGGGGAAGTTCAAAGTAAGATCCCTACCCATAGAGAAGGAAACTGCCATTTCTTGAATGCCTACAAAGGGCCAGTTGAAACACTTTTTATAGATTTTTCCTTAATTAATTCCAAAAGTAATGCTTGAATACATATTCATTGCAACAACAACAAAACAATCAGATAAAGTGAAATTCCTTTCTTCCTCTCAGTGCCCCTTCCTTGGAGTGGCTTACACTGTTGACAGTTTGGTGTGTATCCTCACAGACTTTTCTCTAAATGTTTACAAACATGTATATATACCTGTAGAAATGGGAATCTTGTTTGGTGGTGTTTTTTCTGAATTTATTTTTTATCAGTGCAATCGCATATAGGTATTGTTCTGCAATTTGTGTTTTGTTTTGTTTTCCTTTGTTTCCATTCCACAACGTGTCTTGGAAGTAGGCATAAACCCAGATACACAAAAGTCCCTCACACACACACACACACACACACACACACACGCTCAGTCAGCTGTAACACAGATCCCAGCCTCCTGCCCCGGTTCTCACTGAGGTGTCATCTCCCCCCACCCCCCACCCCAGGGTGAGCTGGAGCGGCAGCTTCTTCAGGCTAACCCCATCCTGGAGGCCTTCGGCAATGCCAAGACGGTTAAGAATGACAACTCCTCCCGATTTGTGAGTGCTGGCAGAGGGCGTTGCCTGGCTGCCTGTTGACCAAACAGCAGCTGGGCATGTAGAGGGGTGGGGGGAGGCAGGATGTGTGGGTCTGCTGAGGGAGGAGGGGCCAGGGGTGGGGCTGGGAGCCTGAGTCATGAGGAAAGAAGTCAAAGGGGCCTGGACCTTGGATTCCCCAGGGAGCCCCCCAACTGAAACCCCATGACTGGGGTGGGGTTCAGGTGAAGGAAGAGAGAAAGTCAAGAGGCTCTTGGAGGGATGACTGCGGGGGGAGGCTGCTCTTTACACCCTCAGGAGGAAGCCGACCTGCAGCTAAGCCCCCACCCTCTTACCTCCCAGGGCAAGTTCATCCGCATCAACTTTGACGTCGCCGGGTACATCGTGGGCGCCAACATCGAGACCTGTATCCTTCCCCGCCCTGAGGGCGTCTGGGACTGTGGGGTGGTGGCCGAGGAGGGAGGGTCTTGGGGGTCTCACCGCTTACAGGAAACAGGTGTTTACACACACAGGGAACCCTGTCTCCCTGCTGCTCAGAAACTGTGCCTCAATTTCCCCCTCTGTAGAAGGGGAAGAATCACAGAACCTGCCCCAGAAGGGTTTAGAGGACAATGTGGGTGGAATTCTTAGCATGGCTCCCACCACATAGTAAGCACTCATTAAGGAGCTCTGGTTATTAGAAGGTAATGATTGGAGTACATTAACAATGTCCTTATTGATGCTATTATTATTATTATTATTAATCCTCACCTGAGGATATGTTTTTATTGATTTTTAAGGAGAGGAAGGGAGAGAGAGAGAGAGAGAGAGAGAGAGAGAAACATCAATCGGTTGCCTCTCGTACACGCTCTGACCTACCGGGGATCAAACCTGAAACCTAGGTACGTGCCCTGACCTGGAATTGAACCTGCAGCCTTTTGGTGTACAGTATGACACTCCAACTGAGCCACCTGGCTGGGGCTGTCACCAATTTTTAGTGTGTGAATGACTTCTGTGACTTCCCTAGAAGGGAGGAACCCATAGCCTCAATATCCGTACCGGGAAACTGAGACTGGGAGGGTAATGATGGCAGGAGACACTCTTACTACAATTCATTCGCCCTCTCAGCAGCTCATTGACGGGTGTTATGATGAAGCTCCTCTCATGATGAGGAAGCTGAGGCACAGGTGCTTCAGTGACATGCTCAAGGCCACTCATCCAGTTAGTGGCAAGGCCACCGGCCTGGGCTGTGAAGGACCCCACTGCATTATGGGGTGGCAGGGGGCCGAACGGATCGAGGGGGCCGGGCAGGGTCCCCTCCCTCCCCTTTTCCGCAGCACCTTGACTCGCCCCCTCCCAGACCTGCTGGAGAAGTCTCGGGCCATCCGCCAGGCCAAGGACGAGTGCAGCTTCCACATCTTCTACCAGCTGCTGGACGGCGCGGGCGAGCAGCTCAAGGGTCAGTGCTGCTGCTCGGGGCGGGGGGGGGGCTCTGGCTTCTCTGGGCCCCGGGAGGGAACGGGAGGCACTGGTGTGTGTTGGGCTCCTGCTGCGTAGTGGATTCTGTTGCCTCCTGGATCCCGCTGCCCCTGGTTCCTGCCGCCTCATGATTTGCCAGCAGAGTCCAGCCCCCCCTCCCCCTGGCCTGTGCTGCCTTCTGGTCCTGCTGTCTCCTGGGTCTTGATCACACTGGCCACATGGCCACTGGCTCCTGTTCACACTCACCTCTCTTCTGCTCACTCCAGCGGGTGTGACTCCAGCTTGGCCGCTGCTCCCGCTGCCTCGTGGTCCCCGTGGTCCTGGCCTGTGTGGCTTCATGGCTCCTTTCTCTCGGCTGCTGCCTGAGGGTCTTCCTGCCTCCTGCTCGCGCTCCTCCTGCCTGCGGCTCCCTCTCGTTCTGGTTCCCGCCACCCCCCCTAGCGCCTGCTCACCCGGGCTCCAGTTCCCTCTCACGGTGGCTTCCGAGGCCACACGCCCTTTGCTGCTGGCCCCTGCTGTACCATGGCTTCTGCTAACTCAGGCCCCCTCCGGCCCATTGCTCCTGCCTGCTCTGGGAGGTCCAGGCCCCGAGAATCTCCTGGAAGGAGGGATGACGGAAGGGCTAATATGTGCTAAGTAAGCACCCGCTCCACCCGGCCCTCACTGAACCTGTGAGGAAAGGCTCCTCACTCATCTAACAGAGGAGGAGACCGAGGTTCCCAGTGGGGATGTGAGTCTGACTCCACGGTTTGCCCTTGACCTTGGTCTCCTCTCGTTACCCCTGCAGCCGACCTGCTCCTGGAGCCCTGCTCCCACTACCGCTTCCTCACCAATGGGCCGGCGTCCTCTCCGGGCCAGGAGCGGGAGCTCTTCCAGGAGACCCTGGAGTCCCTGCGGGTCCTGGGGTTCACCCACGAGGAAATCACCTGTGAGTGAGCCCTGCTCCCTGCTAAGGGTGGGGGTGGGCTCTGCATGGGCGGGAGGGGGACCTGGTCATTCATTCCTTGGTTTATTTGCTCACGTGTTTATTGAGCAAGTACTGTGTGTGGACACTGGGGCCACAGCAGGATATGAGACCCATAAGCATCCATGCCTTGGGAGACTGATAAAGGAGAACCACGATCTAGATAAAGAAGGAATTCTGTGCTCTCCAAGGCCGTGAGTGCGGGGAGAAAAACAGAACAAGGAATGGAGGGGGGAGGAGGGTACAGCCTTTTTTTTTATATATATATTTTTTTATTGATTTCAGAGAGAGGAAGAGAGAGGGAGGGAGAGAGATAGAAACATCAATGATGAGAGAATCATTGATTGGCTGCCTCCTGCACACCCCTTACTGGGGATCGAGCCTGCAGCCCAGGTATGTGCCCTGACCGGGAATCAAACCTCGATCTCCTGGATCATAGGTCAATGTTCAACTGCTGGGCCACACTGGCCAGGCAAGGAGGGCACAACTTTAAGGAGGGAACCAGGAGGGGCCCATTGAGATGGTGATGTTTGAGCAAAGGCCTGGGGGATCTCTGGAAGTGAGCATTGGTGATATGGGGCAAGAGGGTTTCAGGCCAGGGGAACAGCCTGTGCAAAGGCCCTGGGGCAGGAGAGACATGGCATGTTTGAGGAATGCAACTTTCCTCTAGTACATTATGGAGGGGAGTGACGGATGGGACTGCAAAGACAGGAGGGGGCCTCAAATTCCAACCTGAAGGGTTGGGACTTTGTCCTGGGGGTACTGGGAGCCTTGGAGAGCTAGGAGCAGGGCAGGGACAGCTCTGGGCCATGTGGAGGAGGGACTGGAGGTTGGGAGGAGGCTGAGGTGAGGGTGCAGGGAGGTGTTGTTCCAGGCTGGGCAGCCCTGGTGTGAAGTACTCAGATCATCACCCTGTATGACGCTGTTTTGCCCCTGAGCTCGTCACCAAATACTATGTTTTGACAATAGTCTTGCTGCAGCACTATATTCGTTCACTAGGGCCACTGTAACAAAGAACCCCAAACCGAGCCCCCCAAACAGCAGAAACGAATCTTGTCCCAGTTCTGGAGGCCCAGAGATCGAGGTGCCAGCAGGGTCCGCTGGTCCCTGGACGATCTGCCCCCTGTGCCCCACCCCCGCTCCTGGTGGTTTCCTGGCAACCTTCCCAGTCCCTGGGCCTGTAGCAGCATCACCTGATCTGCCTTTATGTCCACCTGGCTTCTCCCTGGGCACCTGTGAGTGCAGTTTCTGCCTGTTGTAAGGACACCGGTCATGCTGGATTTGGGTCCCCAGTAGGACCTCATCTCAACTGAAATGGTTACACCTGCTGTGACCCAATACCAAATAAGGTCACATTCTGAGGCGCCCGGGGTTAGGACTTCAACACACCTTTTTTGGGGAGGTGGCATGATTCAACCCATAACAGACGCATAGAAGTGACCTCAGGTGTTTTTTGTTTTGTTTTTTCCAGCGGCCTGAAGTTTTGATGTTTGGGTGAACTATGATTTTTTCCCACTGGGCCCGTGGAGAAAGGGCCTGATTTCCAGGGCTGAGCAGGGCCAGAGCCAGTCTCATTCTNGCCTGAAGTTTTGATGTTTGGGTGAACTATGATTTTTTCCCGTGGAGAAAGGGCCTGATTTCCAGGGCTGAGCAGGGCCAGAGCCAGTCTCATTCTCCTCTGGTCCCTGGCACTGCCAGAGGCCCCGAGAGCTATTGTTGGTGGCTGCAGGGCCCAGTTGGGAGGGCTGCAAACTGAGAGGCATCTTGGCTGCCTACCCAGGCTGCAAACAGGCCGGCCTCTTGGGCGTATTGACACAGGGTCCCAGGCCTCCCCGCTGGATTTCCCAACTGAGGTTGCACAACTCCCCCTCCTCCCCCGGCAGCTGGCAAACAGATTCAGATGGTGGGGCCCTGGGCCTCCTGGCCTGGCCCCTCAGGTTTCACCTGACCTCCTGACACATGTCACCTCAGATAACCCTCCCAGCACAACGTATGGCATGTGGTGACATGTGACTACAGCCAAAGTTCGTCCTGGGAAAACCAAGTCTCCTAAAGCCACACACCCCCACCTCCTCCAGCCCTAATTTCCCACCGTTAAGCTTCCTGCATCTCCTTCTGTGAATATTTTAGACGAGTCAGGAAAGATGTATATTATTTTTCTATAAAGACAGGCACTCTCTAGCCCCAGGGCTGATTCTTAGCCGTCCCGGTGACTCAGCTCTTGAGTTTCATCTCAGAAATGATTGCCTGCCTCTTCTCACCCGAAGCAGGAGACACAGATGGGTGTTTGTAGGTGTGAAAACACAAAACAGCATCCAAACAACCCAGGCAACGCGGCGCGCTGTGGAGGATTGGCTCTTTCCCTTGCGATCGTGTGGCTGCCTGGGAGCTGGCTCATAGGGGAAAAAAAATCATAATTCAAAATTCAGAGTGTGGTTTGGCCAGAGTGTGGTATCACATCTGCACCATCGTAAATGTGCAAAATTGTAAATCAAACCGTTGTAAGTTGGGCGCTATCTGCGCAGCCTCAGTCACGCACGGTGTCCGCATTCGTGAGTTCCCCTGGCTCTCCAGTTACCTGTCTCCCCAAAACCCACACTCCTGCTGGGCTGGGGCTTGCTGTGCTCATTCACAGAGGGGTGGGACATTTGGGTGCCCCGGGCAGGCTCACTGAGCTCCCGCAGCGACGCCCTGCCTTCTGGTCTCGGCTCGCGTCCTGTAAACCAGCGTCCTTTGGTGGTCTGCTGAGTTTTTGGCGTTCTGTGCTGCTCGTCGCAGAGTTGGAGAGGTCACTGTGTCCCGTGGCTTCTGAGGTGTTGGAGAGGTCACTGTGTCCCGTGGCTTCTGAGGTGTTGGGGTGGTCACTGTGTCCCGTGGCTTCTGAGGTGTTGGAGAGGTCACTGTGTCCCGTGGCTTCTGAGGTGTTGGAGAGGTCACTGTGTCCCGTGGCTTCTGAGGTGTTGGAGAGGTCACTGTGTCCCGTGGCTTCTGAGGTGTTGGAGAGGTCACTGTGTCCCGTGGCTTCTGAGGTGTTGGAGAGGTCACTGTGTCCCGTGGCTTCTGAGGTGTTGGAGAGGTCACTGTGTCCCGTGGCTTCTGAGGTGTTGGAGAGGTCACTGTGTCCCGTGGCTTCTGAGGTGTTGGAGAGGTCACTGTGTCCCGTGGCTTCTGAGGTGTTGGAGAGGTCACTGTGTCCCGTGGCTTCTGAGGTGTTGGAGAGGTCACTGTGTCCCGTGGCTTCTGAGGTGTTGGAGAGGTCACTGTGTCCCGTGGCTTCTGAGGTGTTGGAGAGGTCACTGTGTCCCGTGGCTTCTGAGGTGTTGGAGAGGTCACTGTGTCCCGTGGCTTCTGAGGTGTTGGAGAGGTCACTGTGTCCCGTGGCTTCTGAGGTGTTGGAGAGGTCACTGTGTCCCGTGGCTTCTGAGGTGTTGGAGAGGTCACTGTGTCCCGTGGCTTCTGAGGTGTTGGAGAGGTCACTGTGTCCCGTGGCTTCTGAGGTGTTGGAGAGGTCACTGTGTCCCGTGGCTTCTGAGGTGTTGGAGAGGTCACTGTGTCCCGTGGCTTCTGAGGTGTTGGAGAGGTCACTGTGTCCCGTGGCTTCTGAGGTGTTGGAGAGGTCACTGTGTCCCGTGGCTTCTGAGGTGTTGGAGAGGTCACTGTGTCCCGTGGCTTCTGAGGTGTTGGAGAGGTCACTGTGTCCCGTGGCTTCTGAGGTGTTGGAGAGGCCACTGTGTCCGGTGGCTCCAGCGGCCAGGCTCTCAAGCCCGGGGAGGCCGGGGTGCGCCTTCCCGGGGAAAGGCCCTTGTTGGATGGGCTCCCTTCGGGCATGAGCTGCAGCGCTCCTGGCCGCGAGCTCGAGCGCACGGAGGACCAGGGCACCGGCAGGTGAAAGCGGGTTAAAGAACACGCGCTTATTCTTTATTATTCTTTATTACTTACTGCATTGCTTTTCATATGCACAACTGTAAACCTGCTTTTGGCCCGCCCCGTGCATCAATGAGGGGTCTTCAAACAGAAACACAGGTGACACTCGGTGATGTACTGATCAGCGGGTGAAAACGCTGTGACCAGAGCTCGCAGGAACGGAGCCCCGCGTGTCCCTAGGAGCCGCCCCGTCGGTCCCTCTCCAGTGTCCCCCGCGGCTCCGCAGGACGGTGCCGTGAATAATGGGAGTCACCTGCTTTCGGTTTTGCCTTCTGTGCACAGGATATGCCACATACGCCCTCCTCACCGCGCTTCTTTCATGCGACGTTTTAGAAATCTTTCCACATTGCCGTTCATTTCTCCAAGTCCCTTTAAGCCTGATATGCGGCGTTTTATAAAACAGACAATATGTGCGGAACTCAAGCACAAAATACAGAATTTATTTATCCAGTCATGTGTTTCAAGGCCCCAGTGTCCCGGGTGGATTCTAAGCTCAGGGTATGGTGTGACCTGACATAGGATGTTTAAGCTAGTGTCTCGGGGGCTAGTTAAGACCAGGCACAGTGATGTCTCTCTCTGCGCCCCTCAGCCATGCTGCGGATGGTCTCGGCGGTTCTCCAGTTTGGCAACATCGTCCTGAAGCGAGAACGAAACACCGATCAGGCCTCCATGCCTGACAACACAGGTGACCCCCCCGCTGCCCACCACAGAGCACCCCCTGCCCAGCCCCACCACTCTGATTTCCTGCCCTTTGCTGAGTCTTTACCAAAACAGCATTTCCCCACCCTTTTCCTGATTCTAAAAAGTGTGATCCCTGCTGGAAGTTTGAACAACACCAGTGTGCCAAAGTGGGGCAGCAGGGTCCCCGGCCGTCCCAGCCCCTCCAAGGCACCTGCCTTAGCATTGGGCACATCTCCTCCTGCCCTCTGTGTTTGCGGATATATTTTATTTGCCTTTCAAAAGCAGAATTGTAGCTGACATTCTTTTTTTAACCCATATGGAAATAGCTCTGCTTCTTTAGTATTACAAAATAATACAAGCTGGATGGGGAAAGATCTGACAGACAGAACAGCACAAAGGCAGGGAAATTACCATAATCATACTCCTGAGAGATCATTGCTGCTAACATTTCAGGGTGTTTCTCTCCGGGCTTTGTTCTTTGTCTGTATCCATGTGGAAATAATTGTCACAGAAAAGGAATCATGCTTCACACCCAGCTTCACCCTTACAGAAAAGTTGAAAGAATTTTATAATAAACTGCCAGATATACACCACTGAGATGCTAGATTCCACCATTAACATTTTACTGCATTTGCTTTATCGGATATTTTTCCATCCATCGTTCATCCGTTGTATTTTCTGGTGTATTTTTTGAGTTGCAGACATCAGCACACTTCACAAATGCACTTCTGCCTGCATATTGTTAATATTTTTTTTATAGTTCTTTCTTTGATTCCAAATGGAAATACATATCCTGAAATCACGTTGTAGGTTTAATGTGTAATGAGTTTTCTATGTAATTATGCTAGAACAGCCATTCAAATGAATGAACTCCACTCCTCTAACCTAAATCCCCAGTTGCTGGGCATTCAGGTTATTTCCTGTTTTTCTCCACCATAAACAACACTGTGATGAACATCCTCGTAGTCCAGTCTTTTCCCACATCTGGGATTATTTTTGCCCCCTTGGGGTCCCAGAGGAGAATCCCTGGGCCAGAGGAGTGCACGCTTTTAGGACCTGTGGTGCCTGTGGTGGGAAAGGCTGGGCCGGCCTCTGTCCCCCAGCAGTGGGGGGCGGTGCCGCTTCCCGGTGCTGAACTGATCTTGGCGCCTGTTGTCCTCAGCTGCCCAGAAGCTCTGCCGCCTGCTGGGACTGGGGGTGACGGATTTCTCCCGTGCCCTGCTCACCCCGCGCATCAAAGTTGGCCGAGACTATGTGCAGAAAGCGCAGACCAAGGAGCAGGTGGGTGATGCTGGTGAGGGGCTGGCGCGGGGAAACCCGGCGCCCAGGTACTGGGTCTTTAAGCAGCTTACGCCGTTTTTCTCGCTCACTCAACAGACTTTTGCTGGGTGTCTGCCCAGTTACCGGCTCTGGTCTAGGTGCTGGGAATAAAAGCAGTAATAGGAAAACAGTTGATAAAAGAAGATAAACAGGATGCTTGTAGACACTGATGCCTTCTGTGAAGGAGAGGCCTAGGGTGGTCAGGAAGGTCCTCTCTGTGGAGGCGATGTTCAAGTTGAGACCTAGACGGTTCAAGGCAGAGGGAACAGCCCGTGTAAAGGCCCTGGGGTTGGGACAAGATTGGCACGTTGGGAACATTAAGGAGGTCAGTGAGGCTAGAGAGTGGAGAAGAGGGTGGTGGAAGCTGCAGGCTGAGAGGTTGAGAGGGGACAGATCGTGATGGGTCTTAGGGGCCACAGTAAGGAGGTGAGTTTTACTCAGAGTGCAGCAGGAGGCCAGCGAGGGTTTAAGCCAGGTAGTGGGTTGATTCAGTTTGTTTTTTATAAAGATCGTCTTCTCTTCTATGTGGAGCATTGAGTCCAGGGGCCACAGGGGAAGCAGGGAGTCATGAGGAGGCAGCTGCCATAATCCAAGCAAATGCCAGTGAGGCTCAGGCCGGGCTGGCAGTGGTGGGAATGGAAAGAGGTAAACACGGGCTAGAGGTTTTCAGGATCCAGCTCGTGGGCAGAGGCCTCTGCCTGGCCCTGGGCTGGGCACTTGAGGTCCTAGGATGAAGAAGACACAGTGGGGCGGACAGGGACCAGAGATTGGAGGTCACACTGACCAGGATTCCACTCTCAGCTGAGATACTATTAGGATCCATTTTACAGATGAAGAAATTGAGGCACAGAGAGATTTATTGCCATGCCTGAGGTAACACAGCCTCTAAGTGGCAGAGCCAGGATTCAAACCCAGGTTGTCAGGCTCGAGTCCACCCTCTTAACTGTTATGCCGTCTAATTGGTGCAGGGAGTGTGGGGGGGGAGTAATGAACTAATGAGCCCCGAGGGCTTCACACAGCAGGGCTGGAGTGATGGTCGGCTGTTGCTAATGCCATCGTTCTTGAACCAGGCAGGGGTGGGGAGGCAGTGTCTCCTCGCTGGCCCGGAGCACAGGCTGGGGCCACCGATGTGCAGGCCAGGCCCTCACTCTGCATCCTGTCCCCCGTGCAGGCTGACTTCGCTCTGGAGGCCTTGGCCAAGGCCACCTATGAGCGCCTCTTCCGCTGGCTGGTCCTGCGCCTCAACCGAGCCCTGGACCGCAGCCCCCGCCAGGGCGCCTCCTTCCTGGGCATCTTGGACATCGCCGGCTTCGAGATCTTCCAGGTCTGCGCTTTGTGCCAGCTGGGGCCTCAGGGCTCCAGCACACTGCCCTGCTTCTCTCTCTGAGCCCCTGTCCCCATCCCTCTGAGCCCCTGTCCTCCCATCTCTGTGTCCCTGCCCCCCTCTCTCTGAGCCCCGTCCCCTTTCTCACGCGCCCCCTCATCCCCGCAGCNTCTCTTCTATGTGGAGCATTGAGTCCAGGGGCCACAGGGGAAGCAGGGAGTCATGAGGAGGCAGCTGCCATAATCCAAGCAAATGCCAGTGAGGCTCAGGCCGGGCTGGCAGTGGTGGGAATGGAAAGAGGTAAACACGGGCTAGAGGTTTTCAGGATCCAGCTCGTGGGCAGAGGCCTCTGCCTGGCCCTGGGCTGGGCACTTGAGGTCCTAGGATGAAGAAGACACAGTGGGGCGGACAGGGACCAGAGATTGGAGGTCACACTGACCAGGATTCCACTCTCAGCTGAGATACTATTAGGATCCATTTTACAGATGAAGAAATTGAGGCACAGAGAGATTTATTGCCATGCCTGAGGTAACACAGCCTCTAAGTGGCAGAGCCAGGATTCAAACCCAGGTTGTCAGGCTCGAGTCCACCCTCTTAACTGTTATGCCGTCTAATTGGTGCAGGGAGTGTGGGGGGGGAGTAATGAACTAATGAGCCCCGAGGGCTTCACACAGCAGGGCTGGAGTGATGGTCGGCTGTTGCTAATGCCATCGTTCTTGAACCAGGCAGGGGTGGGGAGGCAGTGTCTCCTCGCTGGCCCGGAGCACAGGCTGGGGCCACCGATGTGCAGGCCAGGCCCTCACTCTGCATCCTGTCCCCCGTGCAGGCTGACTTCGCTCTGGAGGCCTTGGCCAAGGCCACCTATGAGCGCCTCTTCCGCTGGCTGGTCCTGCGCCTCAACCGAGCCCTGGACCGCAGCCCCCGCCAGGGCGCCTCCTTCCTGGGCATCTTGGACATCGCCGGCTTCGAGATCTTCCAGGTCTGCGCTTTGTGCCAGCTGGGGCCTCAGGGCTCCAGCACACTGCCCTGCTTCTCTCTCTGAGCCCCTGTCCCCATCCCTCTGAGCCCCTGTCCTCCCATCTCTGTGTCCCTGCCCCCCTCTCTCTGAGCCCCGTCCCCTTTCTCACGCGCCCCCTCATCCCCGCAGCTGAACTCCTTCGAGCAGCTGTGCATCAACTACACCAACGAGAAGCTGCAGCAGCTCTTCAACCACACCATGTTCGTGCTGGAGCAGGAGGAGTACCAGCGCGAGGGCATCCCCTGGACCTTCCTGGACTTCGGCCTCGACCTGCAGCCCTGCATCGACCTCATCGAGCGGCCGGTGAGCCGGCCCACAGCTCCTCCCTCCTGCCGCCCACAGCCATCTCCCCCTCCCTCCCAGTGGCCATGGTCCAGGTCCTTGCCCCGCCGGCCTCAGGCCTCCGCATCAGTGAAATGGAGAAAATGACACAGATCTGTGTGACTGCCAGATGGTTAGGACCCAAGATGCGCTGCCACGGGGCCTGGCTCCAATCATGGGGATCTGACATATTCTCCCTTCCTGTCCATGGTTAGGCCAACCCCCCTGGACTCCTGGCCCTGCTGGACGAGGAGTGCTGGTTCCCGAAGGCCACGGACAAGTCCTTTGTGGAGAAGGTGGCCCAGGAACAGGGTGGCCACCCCAAGTTCCAGCGGCCGAGGAACCTGCGGGACCAGGCCGACTTCAGCGTCTTGCACTATGCGGGCAAGGTAGAGGGCAAGGGTCAGCCTTGGGGCATGTGGGTGGGAGTGGGGACCACTTGATTACAGATGTGAGAGAGGGTGCAGATGGAAAGCAGGGGCCGCCAGGTGTCCACTGAGACAGGACACAGACAGGGCAGGGGCTAGGAAAGCCCAAGGAGGAGTGAGGATCTGTTTTATGAAATCAACAAAGGCTTCCTCAAGGAAGGGATACTTGCAGTGGCTTTTGAGGGGTGGATAGGAGTTCACCAAGAGGAGAATTATGTGCATGGTATCCACTCATTCAGCAAACATGTGTCTTTTGTGCACTCAGCCCTGTACTGAGCAAAGTCCGGGACCCAAGTCAGACATGGTTTCTGTCGTCACAAACTTCCTTATCTGGAAGGGAGACAAATACAGACCATTGGGACATAGGCTGACAGGTGCTTTAATAGGGACAGCTAAAGGCAGTGTCAAAGCCAAAGCCCAGAGGAAGAACACCAGGGACAGTTCCACAGAGGAGAGTGATGTTTGATCTGAAATCAAAACCAAGGGTCAGCAAATGTTTCTATAAATAGTTTCAGCTTTGTGGGTCAGATACTGTCTGTCACAGCTACTCAGTTCTGCCACCCCAGCATGAAGGAAGCCACAGGTAATACATAAATGAATATATAAATGAAACTATTCCAATAAAACTTTATTTACAAAAAGAGGTGGCAGGCTCGATCTGGCCTATGGGCTATATGGTCTGAATGATGTGTAGCAGGTGCCAGAAAGGACAGATGAAGGGTGGGAAGGGATCTGCAGGCAAAGGGAACAGCATACATAATGGCTGGGAGGCAGGGGCCCCGGGTGTCCTGTGTGTATTTTCTAAGACCTCCTGTGTGCCTAGCCCTGTGCTGGGCTTAGTCAGACCCAGGCCCTGGCCTCAGGGAGCTCCTGGTGGGGGGAACATGTGCAGGGAATTGTGGTCAATACTGTGACTCTGCAGGAGCCTCAAAGCAAAACCCTGAACTCTCCCAAGCTGTCATCCGTGGGAAAATCCATGGCAAGAGAATCCCAGACTTGGGGACGACAGGGGTAAAAACCGTGAGATGGAAACTGGGTTGTCTGTTCGGGGAACAGTGTGGAAGCCAGCGTGTCTGGAGTAGAATGAATAAGAGAGAAAGCGATGGTGGATGAGTTCACAGGTGGGCAGGGAAGTAAAGGGAGAGAGGTCATGCTGGTGGAGGCTGCAGTTCAAGACACGGACACAAGGTGGCACCAATGCTCTCGTGGTGAGCCCCAGAGCTGGAGTCTCAGAGCTTCTGGGAGGCTCCTTGGGACATCGGGAGGGCCAGTGAACCTGCAAGCTCACCATCCTCCAATTCCTGACTTCATGCAGGTCGACTACAAGGCCAATGAGTGGCTCATGAAAAACATGGATCCTCTGAATGACAGCGTCGCAGCCCTGCTGCACCAGAGCACAGATCGGCTGACAGCAGAGATCTGGAAAGATGGTGAGGACCAGCTTCCCCTGGCCCTGGCCCTGGCCCTGAAGTCCTGGGCATTCCTTCTCCCAACCCCACAATGTGAGCACCTTTGTTTCAGAGGCTGAGTTGTATGCTCAGATGCAGAGCTTACGCAGGCAGGCCAGACAGTCTCACAGTAGCGTTCCCAATTTGTGATTGATTGATTGGTATCTCAAGCCAGCATCATATTCGATGATAAAACACTCCTCCTTAAACAAGACAAGGATGTCCACTTTCAACACTGCTATGAAACACTGTTTTGGTGATACTAGCCTATGCAATCAGATGAGAAAAAGAAATGTTTGTGAATATTGTAAAGAAAGAGATGACATTATTTGTAGATAGCATATGATCCCTAAAAAAAACAAACAACCAAGAGATTTGACTGTAAAAGAATTAATAACAAGAGAATCCAGAAGGATTATGTTTTACAGGTTGGTCAACTTTTAGACTTTTCTTTCTTTGCTCTCTCACAAAGTTCTCTTCAGGGCCCCTAGGAAGAAGAAAGGTGCAACAGACTGAAATATAGTTTTGGAGTTTTCTTGCTCCATCAAGGCCCATGTGAATTTGCCCATCAGTCTTTTCAGAATGACACTTCTAAGAGGTGTAGGCAGAAAAGCCAAATGCCTTTGTGGCAGGACCCTGTACCTTTCCAAGCTTTGTCTATTGCTTCCCCCACCTCCTGCCCATCCTTAGAAGAGGTTTGAGAGTTGATTTTATACAACTGACAGCACCAGCATCTTAGTTATTTCCAATTTCAGGTTTCCGGAATCTGTTAGTTTGCTTTAATCTTTGATTGCAGTGGAAAGCATAGTTGTGGAAGTGCCAGCCTATGCAACTAGACATGAAAACAAAATAAACAAGATGAGTGGTTTCCAAAACAAACTCACAGGGCAAAAGGGGATGGGGTACCTTGATACTGTGAGCTGATTTGAGAAAGAAAAATTTGATATCTGTGTTTCACAAAATGTACACAAGGGGGATTGAAAAGCAGTGTTTGATGTTCAGCAACAAAAACAGATTCTGCTATGAAAATCACCCCCTTCAGACTGAAAATCACCCCCTACCCCATTTCTTTAAAATCTGTGCCTCATTCATGGACACGTGATGTTCCCAGTGACCCCTCACGTGTTTCACCCCATAGTGACTAACTCTCAAAGGGTTCCAAGAGAGAAAGTGGAAACAGCAATACAAAGCCTCTTGAGCCCTAGACTGGAATGTCGCAGTGTTACTTCTCCCATAGTTCTGAACAAGACAGTCACAAGGCCAGCCCAGATTCAAGGAGCTGCAAGTCACACGGAGGGGTAGAAAATTGGGGCCTTTTTTGCACCAATTTCTACTACAGCTGCCCTGAGCCCAGAGTTGGATGCCCAGCATCCTCGCAGCCCAGCTGAAAAGGCAAATGAGACAAATTCTCAGAGAGACCAATGCAACAGCTGGGTGGAAGCATCAAGGCAGTCCTCAAGCTTCCTGGCAGTCAGGGGAAAAAGAGATACCTAACAAAACAGATGCAGACTCAACCTCTAGGGAGAGAGCTCTTTTCCCCTCCAGCACTAAGTTCTCACAGAGGACATTCGTCCTTTCAGCCGCATTGACGCCCTCAGGGGGTAGACACAAACGTGAACAGAACAGTCTCCCTGGCTTTAAAAGTGTATGGCCAGTATTCAGGCTTTCCCTCCTGCTTCGCACTCTGCTGTTGACTAATAACCCTCTTTTTCCTTCCTGTCACCTTCCCTCCCTCTTCTCTTCTCATACTGTTCCCTTTGCATCCCCCCACCTCTTCGCCATCTCCCCACATCTGTCCTCTCCCCCCATTTGTCCTCACTCCCCAGAACAGGGGGGCTTCCAGCAATTCTCTTTCCTTGGCTCCTTCCCACCATCACCCCCAGGATCTTCAGGGAGGCTCAGCTCTGCCACTTCTCCGCCAGGGGGTGGGTGTTGCTCTGCATCTATGGGTGAGATTTGCCAGAAGAGGAGGGTGGGCCTGTTGGATTGGGAACCTGGTTTTGAACATCTGTCCCCTCTTTTCTCCATAAGGAGGTCTCTTACACTTCTTCCTCCTTGTCAGCTTCCTCAGCAGTATCCAGACTCAATGCCTTCTTCTAACCAAACTGCATGCAGAAGTACAAACAACGGTGCTGATATCAGCTGGTGTTTACTGAGCACTGACTATGTGCCTGGCATTGTGCAAAGCCCTTTTACTATTAACACATAGAATCCTCTGAATGACCCACTGAAGCAGGTGTTAGTAGTATTACCTGCCCTTTACACAGATGAGGAAATTGAAGCACAGAGAGGTTAAGTCACCAGCCCGAGATCACACAGCCAGTAAGTGGCAGAGCCAGGATTTGAACCCAAGATATCAAGTCCCAGAGCCTCAGCCCTTACCTGTGCTGTAAGAGCTTAATAAATGATAATTATACTTTTGATAACAACTATAAGTATGGCAGTGGGAGGAAAATGCTATATCTGAGCCCCTGCCATATACCAGGTTCTACCTGAGTGCAGATTATCTGGTTGACCCCTGATGACCCTCAGCACTGGGGACAGCAGGACATCAGATTCAGCCCCAGCTGCAGGATCCTGAGAAACCTGGCATGGCTCGATCATCGAAGTTGAGTGGGGATCTCTCACTAGCTGAACTGACACCATCAAATGATAACAGAGAAACAGAGTTACTGTGAAATCAGGGCTTGCTAGAAAAATGCTAACTATGAAGGCAGATTCCTTATTTCAACATTACGCAGAAAAGCCAGGCTCTTTCCATGTTTAATGTGACTCGGTTTGGATTCCTGAAAACGTAGCCATGCTGTGTTTGTGGTTACCCTTCTCCTTCTCTGTGCCTCGGTTTCCTCATCTGTAAAACAGGAGCAATTCTCACAGGCTTATAAACCAGAGGATGTAAAGCTCTTTGAAAGTACCCAGCAGAGAATACGTGTTAAGTAAGCATTTGCTGTCGTCGTCATCTGTCAACAAGGAAAACGGAGATCATGTCCTTGAGGAGAAGAGGGGTCAGAGGTCAGGGCCTGAGAGGACTCGCACTGCCTGGATTAAAATCCTGGACCTGCAGTTTCTAAGCTGTGTGGCCCTGGGCACAGTCTTCCACCTTTCTGAGCCTCAGTTTGCCCCCCAGTCCAATGGGGCTGGTGTTACCTACCTCACCAGGCTGTGTGAGGTGCCAGGCCCTGTAAATAGTAAGACCCTTAACCTTTGGCCAACCCTCTTCCCCAAACTGACCCCTGATATGCTTCTTACCCTACATCTGGTTTCCTCTTCACACAGTGGAGGGCATCGTGGGGCTGGAGCAGGTGAGCAGCCTCGGGGATGGCCCACCAGGTGGCCGCCCCCGCCGGGGTATGTTCCGGACAGTGGGACAGCTCTACAAGGAGTCCCTGAGCCGCCTGATGGCCACACTCAGCAACACCAACCCCAGCTTTGTCCGCTGTATCGTCCCCAACCATGAGAAGAGGGTGAGTGACCTGGGCTGGGAATGGGGAGGCTCTGCCAGCTACTGGACTTGGCTGGAGATGAGGGTCTTGCTTTTCTCCCAGAATAAATACTCTGTTAGGAAAATTCATTTGTTCATGGGACTTAAATTTTATTGAGCACCTACTAAGTACCAGATACTAAGGATACATTAGAGAGAAGTACAGCCAACCCCTATTCTCACAGTCTAATGCAGAACACAGACATTCAACTAACCACCCACAATGAACATCTGGTTGAATTTGTAGGGGTGGTAAGTACCACGTAAGGTTTGATCTGCTCGGTGAAGTCAGGGAAAGATCCCTGGAGGAAGTGACAACTGACCTCTGAAGGAGAGGTGGTATTCTGAGCAGAGAATAGCTTGTGCAAACNGAAAGATCCCTGGAGGAAGTGACAACTGACCTCTGAAGGAGAGGTGGTATTCTGAGCAGAGAATAGCTTGTCCAGTTGTAGGTCAGACCATGGAAGGTACAGGGATGGAAAGATGGCTGTTGGCGCTGGGGATGTCATGTAGGTTAGAAGAAACCATCCCTGGCTTCCCAGGGCACTGAAAAATGTCCTTGTTGGGAAAATCAAAGACTGGTCTATAGAGAAGGGGAAATGAGGCCACAAAATTAGGTGCTTGGGGCTTACACTGTCCTTGGAAAGTAGCTGTGGTTACTGGGTGGGTGGACCTCTGTGTGTGTGTGTGTGTGTGTGTGTGTCCTTTCTCATGTCCGCAAACACCATGTTTTATCAGATCTAAGGCACATTTATTTCTGACACGTTAGCATCTCAGCCCCCTCAGGGTGGCAGGGCAGCCACGAGTGGCTCCGGGCTTTTATTTTCCCAGTTTAGCAACCCTGAGGGAGAGTCTCTCTGGTCCCACAGCCCTAACATAAGGCCTAGGACTGGCTCTCATTGGCCCAGGATGGGTCTGTCCCACCCCTGAACCAGTCACTCCGAACCAATAGCCAGACCTGGGTCACATGACTATTCATTGCGCCAGGATGGGCTCAGTCCTAGGCACTCTGGACTGAGAGCAGAGGGGAAGGAAGAGCTCCCTCCCACAATATCGAAGCCTTATTGCCAAGGAACAGGGGCACGTACACTCACAGATAAACAGAAACTGCCTTTTGCCGGAACGTAAACGACCTGAAGGTAGCCGCTTGTATCTCCTTTCTCACTGAGTCCCCAAAACCTGGACAGTGTGTAGCACACAGTGGATATTCAATAAATGCTTGATGGATGCCTAAATATAAGCTAGAGATGCCTGAATGGCCATAGAAAAAGACCAGACTGGTGGTTCTCATGTTTTAATTCCCACCACCCAGAGATTCTGATTCTGCCCTGGGCGAGAGCTGGAGC